ATTCAGTATCATTGATCAGAAGAGCTGATCTTGGGCAGTTACTCTGATTGAGCATCAGTGAGTTGCTGGAATTTGCCATTCAGACGTTGTTTAGCATTTTTTTTTCAGACGTTGTTTAGCATTTAAATGTGAAAGGAAGAGGATCCTAAAATGCACCAGTGATCTTGCAGGCTTTCATCAGGTCATTCTGCTGCCCCAAGGATGATGACAATGTGCATGGTGGAACTTTAAAATCATAAACCAAAAGAGGAGTATCCTGGTTTACAGTCCATTTTGTTGTTTTTTTAAATCTCTTTTGCTCAAAAACCACAGAGTCCTTCCGATGACATGAGGCTTTAGAAGAGTTGCTATCTAAAAAAGTATTCTTCCTTAACATTTTGAGTTTCACTTGGAAAACTCAAAATTCTTTATGTACATAATGGAAAAATAAAATCCCCAGAACTGTGAATAGTGCTTGCCTGTTGCTTTAATATATCCCCTTCTGAGTGTTTTGATGTGTGTGTGTGTGTGTACACGTGCATGCGTGTGCATGCACATGGGGGAGTGGGGTTCTCTGTCTTTGAATAGAATTGACTTGCATTTTCTACAACCAGTATGGTGGCTAGTTCAGATCTAGCTACAATCAGAGATCTGAGTTGGAAGCTGAAGTCTCCCACTTTCTATCCATGTCCAATTTTCCACTTCAGAGGACAAAGGTGGTGCTGAATAATATTGTAGATGGAAGGTGCAGTGCTGTATTGTAACCCAAGGTAAGCAAAGGATTATACTTACCCAGAACAGCAAGGAACAAGTCTTTTTTATGTTTGCTCTAGGGCCAAGCACAGTGTCTGACAAATAATAAGGAAATTAGTATCATTATCTCAATCTTCTCTTTCCATATAAATGCAGAATTGCTGCACTCTTCACACTTCATAGACCCTTCATATAATTATGAAGGGGAACATGTGGTGACAGTTTAATTTATGAACCTTGTGCAATGGTAATTTAGATGTATTGTTCACTGAATAAATATCTTAAGGCTGTAAGGAAGTTTACAAGTAATTTGTTCCCCTTCCTTCATTGTATGGAAAAGGCAACAGAAACACGTAAAGATGACAAGAATGCTCCAATAATGCACTGGGTATGCATCTCCAAACCCTCTACACACAATATCACAAGGGTTTTGATGTTCTATGCCTACTGAAACCAGTGTAGTTCTATGCCCTGCTACCAATAAATTAGACACCTGAGCCTCAAACTTGGAAAACCAAAGGAACAAAGTAGCTGGGATAGTATGCAAGCTAGCAAGCTGCTGGAATCTAAATGAAACTTAGCCCCATGGAGAAGAATAAATAAGCTATAGTTTGGGTTCATCCTATGAAAGGTGTGTCTGCCACAATTCCCATGCTCTCTGATCATCACCATGAATATGGTACAGGCATATACCAGCAACTGTATGCATTTTTTCTCCCGGCCAAACACACCACTCTTGTCTTGGTCTTGGGTCAGAATCTACTTTTTAATCTATCATTAATTTATCAAAGCAATTAATATAAAACCCAAACAGAAAATTAGCAAAGATATAGCAGAACTCAACAATACTATCAAACAACATCCAATCCATTCAGCAACAGCAAAATGCACATTCTTTTCAAATGCTCATGGAACCTTTATCAAAAGAGATCATATTCTGGGCCATAAATCAAACATTAACAAAATCAAAAGAATTTAACTCATATAGAGTATATTCTGTGATCACAATTGAATCAAATTAAAAATCAGAAACAGATAACAGGAAAACTTCCAAACACTTGGAAACTAAAAACACACTCCCAAATAATATGAGTTAAGGGAAAAAATAACTCAAGAGAAATAAACACATTGAACTTAATAAACAATGAAACTCCAACATACCAAAATCTGTGAAATATAGCTAAAGTAGTACAGAGCAGGTAATTTAAAGTACACTTGCTTACATTAGGAAAGAAGAGTCTCATATCAAGAAACTAGGTGCTACCCCAAAAGAGAAGAGCAAACTAAATCCAAAGCAAGCAGAAAAAAACAAATAATAAAAATAAAAGCTGAGCTTAATGAAATTTAAAACAGAAAAAGCAATAGAGAAAAACAATGAAACAAAAAAATGATTCCTAATAAACTGAAATAAATAAATAAATAAGAAAAGGTCAATCAAATGAATCTCTAGCAAAATGACAAAGAAAAAAGAATGACACAATTTACTGTTATCAGAAATGAAGCAAAGGATATATTATTTTTTAAATTTTTAAATGTTTTTTTATTTATTTCTGAGAGAGAGAGAGAGAGAGAGAGTGTGAACAGGGGAGGGTCAAAGAGAGAGGGAGATACAGAATCTGAAATAGGCTCTAGGCTCTGAGCTAGCCGTCAGCACAGAGCCCGACGCGGGGCTCAAACCCACGAACCATGAGATCTTGACCTGAGTTGAAGCCGGATGCTTAACTGACTGAGCCACCCAGGTGCCCTGAGGATATTAAAAGGTCCATAAAGGAATATCATAAACAATTCTACACACATAAATTAACATCTTAAAGGAAATGGACCAATTCATTGAAAAGCACAAACTATCACAACCTACCTAATAATATACGTTGAAGAGACATAACTATTAAGGAAATGAATCCGTAATGACAAAACTCCCAGAAAAGTAATCTCCTGACCCAGAGAGTATCACTGGAGAATTCTATCAATTATTTAAATAAGTAGTTAACACAAACTTTTACACAATCTTTTCCAGAAAACAGAAGGAGGCACTTCCTAACTTATTTTATGAAACTAGTGTTACCTGATACCAAAACCAAACACTGTCAAGAAAAAAAAAAAAAGGAAAAATAAGTACAGACCAATGGTCCTCATGAATAGAGAGGCAAACATCGTTAACAAAATATTGGCAAATAGAATTTATCAACATATGAAAAGAGGTTTTTAAAAAGAGTATTATCAAACATACAATTTTTGTGGGGCTTATTCTAGGGCTACAAGACTGATTCATTATTTCAAAGTCACTCAACCTAGCCCACCATATTAAGTGGTTAACTATATATATACATATACATACATACATACATACATATGTATATATATATACATACATACATATACATGTGTATATATATATACATACATACATATATATGTATATATAGTTATATATGTATATAGCTAACAAATATACATATATATGTATGTATGCATATTTGTGGGTTTGAATACTCAACATAGTAATGACAGAATTTTTCCCAAAACTATCATAGAGACTTAAAGGTTTTTCTAGATATAGACAAGATAATTCTAAAATTCATATGGAAAATAAATGGCTTATAAGAGTCAAAATAATTTTTAAAAAGAGGAATAAAGAGACTGAAATAATCTACCCAATTTCAAGACTTACTATATAACTTATAGTTATAATTAGGACTGTGGGTATTGACATAGTGATAGACACAGAGATGAATAGAACAAAATAGAGAACCCAGAAATAGTCTACACCAGTTGATTTTTGGCAAATATGTAAATGCAATTCAACAGAGGAAAGACAGTCTTTTTAATAAATGGTGATAGAAGAACTGGATATCCATTCCAAAAAAAATGGTGAAGGGAACTAGCCCTAAACCTCACACACTGATTTTATATAAAGACAGATAAGTAATTAAATGTAAAACATAACATTATAAAACTTTTAGAAAAAAACAAAGGAGAAAATCTTCAGGAACCAGGGCCTCATGAAGAGTTCTTAGTCATCACTCCAAAAGTATGTTCCATAAAAGATTAAAAATCAATAAATTGAACTTCATCAATATTAAAAACATTTCCTCTGTGAAAGATCTTGTTAAGAAGATGAAAAGACAAGATACATACGGATAGAAAAACATTGGCAAACTACATCTGGCAAAGGAATCACACCTAGATTACATGAAGAACTCAGTAACAGAACAGAAAAAATAAAATAAAACAAAATAATCCAATATTTACAGGGCAACTAATATGAAGAGACATTTCAATAAAGAGGATATACTATTGGCAAATACACACATAAAGGGAGCTCAATATCACTAACCATCAGGAAAATGCAAATCAAAACACAATCAGGTATCAACCAATTAGATGTATACCTATTAGAGCAGCTAAAATGAAAGATAGTGACAATACTCACTGCAGCTAAAATAAAAGATAGTGACAATACTCATTGTTGGTGAAGACAGAGAAATTAAATCTCTCATATATTGTGTGTGGGAACAGAAAATGGTACAGAAACTTTGGGGAAAACGTTTGACAGTTTTTTTAAAAAGTAAACAAACATTTATCATATGACTTAGCAGTCCTATTCCCAGGCATTCATACCAGAATATAAAATCTTATTTCCACACAGAAACCTGTAAACAAATGCACATAGTCATTTTATTTGTAATGGAAAAGAACTGGAAACAACAAAAATGTTCCTCAGTACGTGAAAGGATAAACAAACTATGGTACATCCCTGCTATGGACAATTATGTAGCAGTGAGAAAGAACACACTACTATGAATACACACAAGAACTTGAATGAGTCTCCAAATCACCTTGTTGAGGGAACAAAAGCCATTCTCAAAAGGTCACATACTGAATGACTGCATGTATGTGACATTCTAAAGATGACAAAAATACATAAATAACAAATAGTGGCTAATAGGGGTTAAGAATTTTGGAGGAGGGAAGTGCGTATGACAATAGAAGCAGCAAGAGGGGGATCTTTATGATGACAAAACAGTTCAGTATCTTGATTGCAGTGGTCCTGCCACAAATCTACATGTGATAAGACACCGTGAAACCATGTACACACTTTGTACAATGTCAATCTCCTGGTTTTGACATTATACTATACTCATAAATTATGTGACTCTGTACTATCTTTGCAAATTCCTGTGAATTTATCATTATTTAAAATAAAAACTTAAAGAATATATCATCACTGTATATTTTCTATTGGAATAACAAACATCAACACTCACTTCCAATATCCGGCCTCAGCTTTTTATCATATTCTCTTAACAACTTGTTGAGAATAAGAGTCACATCAGTGTCTTGGGATTTTGGAGCCAAGACCCACTTTTGGTTTGATGATGAATCTTCATATTCATCCTCTTCCACCTTCCTGGACCTGTAATTATGGAACAAAGTGTGAAGTATAAGTTGTAGCAATAGCTCCAGGAAGTGCCTTAAGCTTGGTCCACTCAAGCACCATTGACATAAGTACAAAGTACCCAGTACTCACAGCCCAATCAATGTATTACTTTTAAAACAAAAACAAACAAAACACATTTTAGAAAGAATCCAATAGGAGGAATGCCACTGCTCTTAAATGTCATAATGTTTTCATTTAAATGTCACAAAAGTATTCCTTGACTATGTTAAACTATAGATTGATAAGTAAATCAATGCCAGAAGATCAGCCAAGCAGCAATCAATCTTGCTTGCATCCACCTTGAGAACCTCTGAGAACCTCTGAAGGTCAAAGCACAAACCTTCCAGATGTTTGTCAGATGGTGACTTTATCATGCTGTTTCCACCCCCTACTGCCAAGGCTTCATTTTAGTTAAAGGTGAGAATAGGTTTTGCAGAATCATACTCACTGAAAAATAGTTGGGTCTGACTTCTGTTCTTCTTAAGGAGACTGGAACCTTTGGTCTAGGTAGACACAGGGACATTATCAAGTGGTCTGCTTGGCCAGCACTAATGTGTGGTGACGGAACAGAGATGGTATTTGGCGAACAGCCTCTGGCAATTTTACATGCCTCCTCCAAAACAAACTGATTCACTTCTTACAGAGCAGGCTAATACAGACATTAAAAATTAAAATCTTTCTAATATATCTTAATCATTTGGCCCCTCAACAAATGGATCAAAATGAATGTTTGAGCATCTTTGAGCTTGTCTCATGCAGCATGACAACCACCTCTCCTGGGTGATACACACTGACAGGAGTACTTGAATGGAGACTCATCAAAATGACAAGTTAGTTTTCTGAGTTGAGTGAGGCCATCTCAACAGCACAGCCATTTGGACTTAAAAGAGAAGAGTCTCCTTCTGCATTAAAGCAGCATTTCCAGGTGGACTCCCATTTACTAGGGAAAAAAAACTTTGTTTTTTACAACAAACAACTTTGCTTATTTGCTTATACTCTGTCAATATAAATGCCTTAGTGACGTTTCACCAAAGAGACCACCAAAATGTAGAATAGAAAATTGTATTAAGGTTTATTTGTCCTGACTTGGTATGCACTCATCTCTGTTTAGGTTCCCAGAGAAGAGCCAAAGTGTTAACATTATCCCAGGGCAATGGTACTCTGGGACACAAGTTTCTTTAAGTTAATTTTTGGAATTAACTAAATTATCCACAAAGAACATGAAAGAAATGAAGAGAATAAACTTTCAAAAATGTATTATCTCTATTTTATTTAAATCCTCACAATCATATGTATATATTATATTACAATCACATAATTACATATCTATATAGTATAATAGTATACATAATTTTATGTAATATGTAACCATGCATACATGTTGCATATTATATACATTATAGTCTTTTTATGAATGTTAACTAGCCTTAACCTAGATTTGGGTCAGTGTCACATAATCTAGTCTCGGATGAATATACACATTTATATGAGATTTTGAAAACGAGTTTATGGTAAATGGCTGGCAGATAGATTTCACTGAAGTTTTTCCTAGACTTATCTTAAACTATAATTCTATTTCTTGAATATTTATTGACTAGAAGGCTAAAATAAATCATCCATAGAAACTATAAGTTGCTGTGAGTTTTTATTTGCATTGAACATTCACCATCAATAAGAAAAAATTTGGGACACATTCAAGAAGTGACATGTTGCGTTTCATTATTTGTAAAACTGAACTTTTACAAATAACACTATAGAATTTAAAATGTTATTGTAGAATATTTTATCAGAAATATTGTCAGGAATATCATCTTGGAAAAAAAAAAGAGAGAGGTTGAAGCAGACCCTGTAGAACATGGCTAGCTTGGAAGCAATCATTGCCCGCAGGACCTGGCAATTCATTCCACAGCAAAACCATTTGGGAGACTGTGGACAGAGGGACAGATTACCTTGGCAGAATCACATATAACATTCTCAAGACATGTTTCAACCCAGCCACATTGGTTTCCTCTTTCCCTCTGTTGTCTCTTTGCCTCTTTCTCTCTCTTCCCTCCTCTCTTTTCCTCCCCTCCCTTTCTCTCTTACCCCTCTCCCTGTTCACCCCCAAAGACAGCTCACTCCACAGACCAAACTATGCTTTTCATGATCTCCTATTTTCTATTGCCCCAACTGTCATATGTACATAGATTGAGCACACTAACTCTTCATCAGTTCTCTGTATAAACACAGACATTTCTGAAAAATTCTTTGAACTACTTCAAATGCAGGTATTATAATGAGCCTAATTCTCCCTCTAGTGGTGATGAGAGGGTTTTTCTGAAATTGCATAAGCTTCTTCCTTAGAGGCCAAGGCAGGTGAGAGTGGGAGAGAGGAAGGAAAGAAAAGGGTCTCCCACCCCTTTAGGAGATGAACCAGGACCTAAAGCTTGATGGCACAGTGGCGAAGCATGGACAGACATCCTCTTGACAGTGAGCTTTTCCCAATTCTAATCTTCTATCAGTTTCCTGCAGGACTTCAGAGAATGAAATAGAAGACTCACAAGGCTGATGTCAGACCATCAGCCCCACAGAAAAATCTTCCCTTTGATGAAAACCAAATCTCATCTCAGAGGACCCACTAGAATGTGAATAAAATACGAATGATCTTCTTTTCTAAATTCTAAGTGGGTTATATATAATCTTTATGAGTGTTCTGTTATCAGGATTGTTATATCCTAAATACTATAACTGCAATTCGCTTTTTTTTTCTTAAAAGCAAACCAGCAATGTATTGTCATTTTCAGATGTTATTTTCACGTCTTACACCTTCTCTCTGACTAGACGGACAAAGTCTGAAGTATTTTTAAACATTAAAAGGAGCTCCTAAACCTCAGAAAGCAGCTAAGCATCTGCAAGGTATCATTGGGCTCCAGGCATGACTAAGTTTGTTCTAATGCATAATAAGTACATCAGTACACCCATGGGTGTCTGAACAGGGTGCTTTTCTCTCCATGGAGTTGCCAAGACATCACTACATAGCACAACTGTCAGAACCTTTTCCAGGGATTTTGAATACCAGAAAGGGATTCGAGAGTCCAAACAGGAAGCTTCTCAGCATTAATAACAGTTTTGAAAGATAACACTGGTCACCAGGTTATTTTGCTTGTCTGTAAAACCCATTCAAAGAATGAAGACACTTTCAAAAGAGAGGAATATAACAATACCATTAGTTTAAAATTTGGATTTTTTTGCAACTTGTATATATATATAACTTCTATTATGAAATCCAGGGAATGAACCAAGATATAGAACATATTGAAATCATTACACGTGCCTTGGTGAAATGGAAGTATGAAGAATCCCAAGGTATTGCACATGTATCTGGGAATTCCCTAGAAACCTGACTGCTTCATATTAGACCCTAAGACATCTTCCTACTTCCTAAGCGCATAAACTAATGAGGACAATAAGTGGTTCTCCTTGTAGCATGTTAAGTATCTATAAATCTAAACTATCTGTAATTAATGATCTAACTCTGAAATGCAGGTCACTTCATTCAGTAGATATAACTTCAAATCTGGATTATATGCTTCAGATGTCTACATTATGCCTGGTGCTACCTGCTGGTCTCTCTGGTTCTAGACAGAGATACATCCAGGAAAAATCAACTTCAGAAAGTGAGCTTCCATTTCCTTCCCCAGCTCTCTCCTTAGACAGGAAGAAACTTGAATTGAAAGACCCAATGAGTACTATGCCTGGTGAAGAGAGCTGCCTGTGAGTCACCAGTTGACATTGTCTCTGGCACACTATCTGCCTTTCACACTTTCACCTCTTAGTGGGGATAATGGTGTGGAGAGGATGGCCAGGGCTTTCTTCTTGAGAACCAAACACCCCTGCCAAAGGTAGAGAGTGAGATTGGGGCCCCTTTTATGTCTTTTAAGATTTGTTAATGTGCCTTCCACCTTCCTTCCCTACATGAATGAAGATGTAAGCTTGTCACTGCCTGCTGACACCTTCAGGGAGGAAGGCTCACAGGAAGGCTCTCTAGTTCTCTAGCTTCCAGATCCAGAAAATGAAGAGGTGTCAAAAGAAGAGTGTTTTGGGGAAACGGGCATCCCAAGATTCTTGGGATAGGGACTGGGGGAGAGGCATGGAGCTGCTCTGATTTCCAAAGTCTGCAGGCACTGGGCCAGAGATCTAGTCTGGGAGACAGAATTAAAGAAACCAAACCCAGAATACCCAGTTATATTTACAGCAACAGGGTTTAACCCTTCTAGTCCCATCGTCCTTCCACTCTCATGAGCCATCTTCATTCTTTCCTGGGGTGTCTCTAAGCTCCCATTATCTGGTTGCTGTTTAGGAGGCAGGTTATGGTATTTATGGTAAGACAATGTTTCACAGTTACCAGGCAAAGCCTATTATCAATGATCAACATGCTTTATGAGGGTAAGTGTGTGTATGTCCCTGTGTGTGAAAAGTGGCTCATCAAGAAGGTGTGCATGTGTAGAGTGTGTGTTTGCAGAACCTGGGGAGGAGAATCCTTTCTGAGAAGGAGGGTTCTTTCCCTTGCTCTAATCCTCTTTCACCTTCCTCCAGCCTAGATGCTCTTTGCCACTGTGATCTAAACTAGGCAGCTAGGAAATTAGGTCTCCTGAGTCCTGGAAAATTTCAGAGTGATGGAAATTATACAGAACGTCAGTCAATATTTGTGTATGAACCCCTGGAACACTTGTAGGGAGGAGTAAATGGGAGGTAGACACCGCCGGTCATTTATGATAGTGTTTTTCAAAACCTCTTAAAACCACCATATCCGAAAAAGCTTCATGAGAAGAGCCTCATTAATCTGAGTCTCACATTTCTGGTTGCAGAGAAGCCTGCAGCCGCTCAGCCTGGAGAGGCAGATAGCTCTGTTCAAGGGGAGACTGGGACAGGTGAGGTGCAGGCCGACTCTCGGTCTCCCCCTCGGCCGGCCCCAGCGGGCTATGCCGCAGCCCAGCCGACGGCGGGGCGCACCGGGACTTCGGGCCGGCAGACAGCGCCCCCCGCCGCCTTCCCGCCCCGCGCCGAGCCTCCGGGGCCGCGCGGCCCGGGTGCCACTTACCGCGCGTGCAAACCGGAGAACAGGCAGAGGAGGAGGAGCAGCTTCGGGGCCATGGTGCGGCGCAGCTCGGGGAGCAGGGTTTGGGGCCTCCGGCCGGGCGCGGCTTCCTCCGGAGCGCGGGCCTCGCCTCCGCCGGCTCTCCTCTGCCTCGCTGCTTCTGCCGCCACGGACTGCGGCGCTACACCGGCTCCCGGCCACCGCGGCCGGACAGGTGCGGGCTCCCCGCGCCCCCGACGGCCCGCGGGTCCGCGCGCAGCTCTGCGGGGCGCACGCGGGACGCCCTGCCACCGCGGCGCGCCGCCCCCGCCCGCCGCCCAGGCGCCGGGTCCGCACCGCCCGGTGGCGGGAGCTGGTGGGCTCCGGCGGTCCCTAGCCCCGCCGCCCCGCGCGGCGCTGCCCCCTCCGCCGCGAGCTGCGCGCGGGTGCACAGGCGGGTGGGCTCTGCGCTCTGTGTGCGGCCGCCGCACGTTCGGAGGTGGGGGCAGCGAGGCGGCCGCTCCTCCCGCAGCGCCTGCGAGGCGGCCCCGGCGGGGAGGAGTTTCCCCAATTACACGCCTGACATCGCGCTCGGCGAAGAAAGCAAGGTCTGAATGGACTCAGAGTTTGAGGCCGGGGAAGGGGGCGGGGCTCAGCGGGGGAGGGGAGGCTTGGGGATCCCGTAGGGAGCCTTTAGAAGAATCCCAGGGATTGGCATCTCAAGGTTAAGAGCGAGCCCCGGAGTCCGTCGGAGTACGTTCCGTTTGTCCTCTCAGCAAACGCGGCGGTTCTCCCGCGCTCCCTGACACACTGTTGCCCGTCCTTCCCCGTGCGTCTTCAGCTAGGTAGCCATAGCAAACGGTTTGCTGAAAGCGCCCTTTCCATGAACATGCCCTGCTAGGTCTACTGAACTCCTCTGCACTACTAAGGTCTGTGTGAAAAAGTGGCTTCCTAGGGATATCTAGAAAAAAACCATTCCCAGTATGTACCATCCTAACATATACAATAAGTAGGTGAAACACACACACACGTAGGAAGACTCACCCTAAGTCAAAAGGTAAAAGTCGTCCTGTTTTATTGAACCGTGACGAGCACTTCATTCCATGTATTTTCACTACCAAAGACTGCATTTATGTTTTCATTTGTAAGAATCACGGTGAAAGCTAGTCTTTCACCATATAAGTATTACAATGTTTACAGTTTTAGGCTAGCTTAGACTAAATCCACTAAGAGGTTTGCTTTTACACTGCAAAAAATAGTTCTTAGAAAGTATTTCGTATTTGAATTACTATTATAGAATTATGAAAGAGTATAATAACTGTTTCTTTAGTATTGTCAAATACTTTTGTTCAGAAAATGTATAGAAGAATAATTGAAAGTTATCTGGTGTTTTCTCCCTTATTTTTAGTTCATCAACACGAACGTGGTCATAAAGTGGAGTGGAGTGCAGTTGTGGGTGATGATAGCTTTGGTTTTCTTCAAGGATGGAGCTGTTGCTCCACCTCCCTGTCTCTGTGTGGCCTTGAGCTCACTCCAGCTTGCTCCTTTTCCGGGCTTCTCCTCACATCCCCTCTGCCTGCCACATCTCTCCTACTCAAATACACAGACCCTATTCAGGTCTTATTTTCTAAGAAGACCCCCAATATTCCTGCATCCCTCCAACTCCAGAACGTCTTTCAGCTTTGGGGGATTATGAACCTTTATCATGCTCTGCTCTCTAATTTTCTCTAACACAAAACTGAACACTTTAGAAATCAGTTAGATAACCACTTATCGTTTGTTAATTGCTTATAAAAATATGTCAAATATTCACACAGGTTTTGTGCCATGAGAAAAACTGCAAGTAAAGAAACAATTCTGACCCTCAGTTTTTAACATAGCAATAAGGAACACATGTCAAAGTAATCATCAGACCTTAACAATGTAATAGGGGCCCAGCTGATGTGAAGGCTTTATGTAAATTAACTCATTTTTAACCCTCATGGCATTATTCCTATTTCTTTTTTTTTTTTTAATTTTTTTAATGTTCTTTTTTATTTATTTCTAGGAGAGAGAGAGAGGGAGACAGCGTGAGCAGGGGAGGGTCAGAGAGAGAGGGAGTCACAGACTGAAACAGGCTCCAGGCTCTGAGCTGGCAGTCAGCACAGAGCCTGACACGGGGCTCGAACCGACGAACCGCGAGATCATGACCTAAGCGAAAGTCGGACGCTCAACTGACTAAGCCACCCAGGTGCCCCTATTCCTATTTCAAAAATGGAGGGAAAAGTACAGAGAAGTTAAGTCATTTTCTTAAGATCACACAGATTGAAAACTGGAGGTATAACTCTAGAGAGTCAGCTCCAAAGTCTTATTTATTTATTTATTTATTTATTTATCTAGAGAACATAAGCTGGGGAGAGGGGCAGAGGGAGAGAGACAGAATATGTTTTAAAAAATATTTTGAGAGAGACACACACACACACAGAGGGAGACTCTCAAGCAGGCTGCGTGCTCAGTGCAGAGGGCTTCATCCCATGACCCTGGGATCATGGCCTGAGCCAAAATCAAAAGTCAGATGCTCAACCAACTGAGCCACCCAGGTGCCCCTCCAATGTCCCAGTCTTTGTCACTATGTCATGCTGCCTCTCAGATAAGTAGGAACTCAGTGCACAACTGTTGTTTGCTTCTTTGAGCAAAGTTTGAGAGTCCTTGTGTATTCTTTATTATTTGAACGTGAGTAAAATGCTTATAAGTTGTTTATAATAAAAACAGACCAATATTTGAGTGTTTTTTTAAATTATCAGTATCATGAGAAATACCCTGTGAAGTTTTTTACAATTCAACCAGTGGAAAAGAAAATGTGATGCTCTTTTTACATCCCTGTGTTGTTTATTGTATTTCTTTCTTGAATATATTCAAAGTATTATTATTACGAATGAATGGAGTGTGAGATCTTCTGACATTTGGAATGCTTTGCTTCACTATTAGACTTAGTGGGTCAGCTTGGTAGACACGCACATTTTACCTTCAACTCCCCACCTCTCATGTTGTGGTCTGGTCTGGAACAAAACAACCTTTTTTTCTTTCTTCCTTCCTTCCTTCCTTCCTTCCCTTTTCTTTCTTCCTTCCTTCCTTTCTTATAAGTAACCTGCATTGAGAGGAGGGAAAATCCAAAGCGGGCTTTCTGAGCATAGGTATAAAAGCTAAATGCAAGGTCTAAAATATAGAATCTCCAAAGGACAAACTTTCAGTCTTTGATGTTTCTTTTTCTCCAGTTTGATATGAAGGGAGGAGTGGAAGGGAAGGGAGGGAGAGAGAGGGAGAGGGAGAGGGAGAGGGAGAGGGGGAGGGGGAGGGAGAGGAGAGAGAGAGAGAGAGAGAGAGAGAGAGAGAGAGAGAGAGAGAGAGAGAGAGATGCTTTACAGAGCGTGCGCGGTTTTCACTCTGTTTTGCCTCAGCTCTCTCCATCTTCAGCACCAGAGAAACTAACAGTTCCACTTAGGCGCGCGGGACTTGCATTGAATCCCAAATCACAGGAAAGGAAAGAAAAATAAAATGTAACATAATGAGGTAAGGGTTGGGGATCAATAGCACATGCACTTCTGTAAATATCGAACATCTAGCAGTGGATGCTGTTTGTTCCAGGCGTTTGCATCAGATCCAGACTCAGGGTTTCCGGAGAAAGATCTGGGCTGGTCCCCGCGGAGTGTGAGTTGAGCAGGAGGCGGGAAGGAACCCGAGGAAGCGCCCAGATTGGCTGCCTTGGTTAGGGATCCTCTTGCGGTGTCTCAGAGAAATACCTCTCAGGATTCCTTTCTTCACCTCCTTTCACATCCTAAGGCTCAGAGCTAGTCACTGTGCTGAATACAACTGGACCGCTGCATCAGTTCTACACCTTATTATTTATTGCTTCTGGATTTTGTTTGAATAAAATCTCTCCTGCTCTCAAGATTATACTTCTGAATTGTATTCTGATGTTTCAAAGTTGTTGAAAAAAAAAAAACCCTTCTCCCCACATTTAAAAATATTAACAAAGGAACACATGCAACAAAATGAACTCATCTTAAAATTATGGCTCAGTGAATTTTTTACACATGTATGCGCCATATGTATAAGAATAGAATGTGTGTATCATCCAGATAAAGATACAGAATATTTTCCAGGTGCTCCCTCCCAGTGGCTGGATCATCTTCCCAATCAATACTGACCCTAGTAAACACTATTCTGCCTTCTGTCACTGTAGACTGTATTTGGCTACTCTTTAAGCTCACATAGAATTATGTAGTATGTTCTATTTAACTATTTTATTAACTGGGTTTATCTCACCCAGTATAGTGTCTGCAACATGTATCCATGTTGTTGCATGTAGCAGTCACTCCTTATATTTTATTGCTGCACATGGCATTTCACTGTGGTATTCAATATACCACATAATATTTAGCTGACATGAACATATTGGTATATGTTTTTTGATGGACATATGTACTCATTTCTCTTAGTTATCTGACTAAAAATGGAATTTTCAGATCACAGGGAAAGTAATTGTTTAATAATAATAAATATTACTAATAGATTTTCAAAGTAGTTGTATCATTTTACCACCATTAGCTATGAATGAGTTCTATACATAACTTCAGTGAAATGTGGCCTTATCATTCTTTTTAATTATACCCATCCTGATATTTTATTCCAATTTTAATTTCACTGAGCACTTTCAGATTTTTACTAGCCATTGGAATATTTTTATGAAGTATCATTCAAATCTTTCACCCATTTTAAAACTAGACTGTTCATCTTCTTTTTGTCTATAGAAGCTTGTTATGTATTTTGGTATGAGTTGTTTAATGTGCATTTGATGAATATCTTCTCTCAGTCAGTCATATAACTTTACTATTCTCTTAATTGTGTTTTATTATCATTATTGCTTTGTGTCTTAAGCAATAAACCATTACCCACTCAGACAGTGTAAATATAGTCTACCATGTTTTCTTCTAAAAGTGTTAGAAGAAAACTCCTCTTTTAGGTCTAGATTTCATTTCTTATTTGTTTTAGTGTATGATTTTATTTATGAATCATTGTTTATTTATTTTTATGCTGACAACTAACTGACCTAGTGTGATTTACTTAAAACACCATCTTTTTACAACTAAATTTGCATTTGCATAAATCAGGTCAACATATATGAATGTATCTTTTTTTTTCTGGGCTCTATTTTCTTAATCTCTTTGTCTTTACTTGCACCATTACCACACTTTTTAAAATTACTAAGGCTTTAAAATTGTTCTTAATAGTATTATTTTTAGTACTCTGAATTTATTTCTTTGGTTGCTCTAGGCTGTTTGCATGTCCATAGAACTAAGCTAACCCAAAAATTTTAACCTATCTACTCCAAATTTTTCACAAGCTTAAAAAAGAAACTGATAAAATAATACAAAAATTCCATATCGTATAATTTACAGTCCATAGTCGAATTTCACTAATTGTTCCAATTACATCTTCAATAGCATTTACCCTTATATACTCTAAGATTGCATTCAGGGTCACATGGCTTATCAGTTATTGTGTCCCTTTATTCTGTTTTTAATCTAGAACATTTCTTTTAAAAATTTTTTAATGTTTTATTTATTTCTGAGAGAGAGAGAGAGAGAGAGAGAGAGAGGCAGCGTGAGCAAGGGAGGGTCAGAGCAAGAGGGAGACAAAGAATCCAAAGCAGGCTCCAGGCTCTGAGCTAGCTGTCAGCACAGAGCCGG